TGTTAGTGAAATTTTCCACAGTGAACTGTTGGGACAGGAAGCGAGACACAAATCATAGTTTCTGCACAATCTCCTCTAACACTATTGCCTCACTCCTGGGGTGCAGCAGACAGCAATATAAAGCACCTCTCTCACATGTACTTCACAGGTCAGGAACATCTACTAAATATGCTTATAACCCTAATGAAATAAAAGCACAAATATAGATAAATTGTATTAAAAGGTTTTATAACAATGACATGACAGAAGGAATTCTTTTCCTATTAGAGATGATCGCCTTTCAACAGGATTATTACCAATAATATACAGGTGCCACCAATTTCAAGCACTTCCTTATAGGTTGATACCACTGATTATTGAAAATCAGAAGCTAACCTAATTTGTATTACATCTAATGAGGGCATATGAAAAGGAAGACTGAAAATAAGTTGCATCATACTGAATGGCCCTTCTTTTCGAATGTTGAATATTTCTAACAAAACAATCTGTGACTGTAAATAGCTGTTCTAACACTGGATGATACACCTCATGCCTACCAAACACCAAAGTTAAAATGACTTATATTTTTCCAATTACATACATTCATAATTGCTATCAAAATGTACACAAACTGATGAACATACAATAAATTCTTTTAGAATAATAACTAGAAAGCATAAAGTTATGAATTTGAAAACAATCTCTTTCTTAGGTCTACATACTCAGAAAAGAACCCTAATTTCTTTTTCCAGTTAGTAGCAGTTGTCCACTAACTTGTCTAACATTTATGAAGTCAATATTAATTTATATTAAATAGGATGACTTTTGCACTTCATAATACACACAAAAAAGTACATTTACTACTGAAAGCACAGATAATTGCATTAGGAAACTTACTGTACCAACCTCTGGCTGAAATCAACCTACACTACTGTTTCATTTAATATCCTCCAGAATATGGTTTGCTTATATTACAGAGAGAAATATATACATGAACCACTGGAGATTAAGGCTGCATTATGTCTAACATCATACAAATAACAAAAACATGGTTCCAGCCCAAAGACATATTTACATATCTACATATGTCATACATATATCTACATATTGTGTAGATTCTGCAAGAAGAGGAACACTATTGTCAATGGACTCCCAAATATGTAATGAGGTTGCACCCAGATTCATGTACCCTTCTTTAAAACTGCAAATGGTTTTAGCTGCATAATTTTGCTTCCCCACTTATTCTTCATTTTTCTCCCAAATGAAAATATAAGCATTCCAAATGTAGAAAATTAATGTTTGGATTTTTTTGTGTCACATGCCTGTTTCTATGTCTTTATAATATATATATATTTTATACATACATATAGATATATATGTACACACAGACTTTAAAAAAAAAAAAAAAAAAAAAACACAAAATCAACTTTACAAGATAGCAAAAGCTTCAGGGATATTTATTTATTTGTTGGAATAACTTCAGATAAAACATTTAAGAAGTTCACCCAAAAAGAAAAAATTGAACTTGTACATAAGCGAAAAATTCAAAACATACAAGGTAGCCAAAGTACAAAGTAAAAAACAGCCAGAAGAAAAAAATTTTCCTTTCTCCTCTTTCAGTTAAAATAATTTTTAAAACTAACAAGAATAATTGATTTTCTACCATAACATTAATAAAATAACTAAATCCTTAGGCTGTTGTGAAAAGCAAAAGACCTCTTAATGCTATGGAAAATGAAGTATGAAGGTGAAATACACAATTCTATATGTTATAAACATAATCTTAAAAAAAAAAAAAAAAGTCACCTTACATTCTTACATTTCTCCATTAAATAATTCTACCTAAAATTTACAACATAAACTGCAATAAAGCAGGTAAATGAGATTTAGCCATCTATTGCTCAAAAGAACAAAAACTCATTACAAACCATCATAAGCAGGCACCATTATAATGTTCCCTCCATAACTATGCCTAGTTTTGATATCTGAGAAGAGCATGCTGATTTAAAAAAAGAAAAAAAGAAAAAAAGCTGTAAACACAACCCTGGAGAGATAAACTTGACAGGAACTACATAACTACAGTAGCTCATTTCCTGTCCATATCTCATATATTTAAAACAAACCCCCTTAAATTAAAAGTCAGTCAAATAAATTCCTCGTGTTAACTCAGCAAGCACATTTCTTTGTTAAAGAAAGAGTTGTTTGAAACAACAAAATAAATGTTTCGGTTAACGTCACTTCCTAATGATCAAAACTACCCAAGAACTACAAGCACTTCTGCACAGTCCTTTCTTTCCTGTGAAGCAAAGTTGCACTCGGCCCCTACGCATGCTACAGACCAAAAGAAAACAGCAATTCAGCTACGCGCAGAGATAGAGACAGTTAAGAGACAACTAGAGGCTCCCTCTGCAATTCGTGAAGTTTAAAAATAAAAAGCTGATTTTTCGAAGAGTAAATGGTTCCTCTCCAGGCACGTAGGCCTGAGGCCCTGTTGCAAACAGCGTCTAACAGGACCAGGCAGCACAAAGACAGGAATGGGAGATTAGTGGGAGGGAGAGAGGCCGGGATTGGGGCTCAGCAGGATCTTCAGGCTTTTTAAAATTCAAACTGCTCCCTGACCAATACAAATCACGGACACGCTACTGACTACTACACGGATTTACAGCATTAAAAACACGCCTTCTACGTGACAGCTATATTAACTTCACCCTTCTAAACATGTATCAGAGCACTCAAAGCCATCATAGCACACTTTTTACAACTCTAAACACGATGCTCCAGAAAGTTACTTTATTAGATACAATAACCACTTACTATTACAACAGATCTGTCTAAGCAACTCAAAAAACTATTTGAAAATTTAGAAAGTATTAGTTGCTTGTCATCTATTAATTTTCTGACTAAATGAAAAGTGAAACTCATTATCTTAAACTTTCCACCAATTATGTAATTTCTGAAGGAGTACTTTTATTAGTTTGGACGATGTTTGTTTTAAAATCTACCTCAATTTATAATAACACTCTCAACCATACTATATAGAAAGTGCAAAATTTATTTAACTGAAAATTAGCTACCATTTATTTATTTATATACCATTTATTTATAAAGATCTGACACTTAATCAACAGTCATTTACAAAACACACTTGACCTGTTAAAGTGACACCTAATTACATATTCAAACATCATGGACACAAACAGCCAATAACAACCTCAGGTTCTCAAAGTGATATGGCCTGACAAGAAAGGATGGCACTTTTAAAACATTCTTCACTTTTTCACTTAATTAAAATCATGTTTGTTTCTCACAAACTTAAGGTAAAATCTTACCTTCACCTTGGGCCATGAGGTGTCATAAATGTACCACTTTCCTCTTAAGCCCTTCCCAATTATTATTATTATTATTATTTTCTTCTAAGAAAGCACAAAATAGTATTTCTCCTGAATTTAGTACATATTTCCATAGTGCCTACAGTACTGAGACTCTGCGGAATACCCAACACAATACGCTTCCCTATGTTCTTCCTAGGTCTGCAGGTGTCCATATTGTGTCAATCTGTCCACAAGATCTAGTTATGCTATAAATACACAAATTGATTAACACCCTAATCAATCGCTTTATTATTTAGAGATCAAACCCTTAAAGGTTATAAATTCACGTCCATTCGAACTTTGAGAATGGAGTTTGTTAGAAGATCAGAGCAGTGAAGACAGATATTTTTGTTTCCATATATTTACATTGTCTCTCTTCCCCTGTCCCTCCACTTACTCCTTCCTCAGTTCAGAGGGCTGTCTGCGCCGGGACCTGGCTCCCTCGCTCTGGCGAAGTTGTAAATATGGCATAGGATCAGCGCACATTTGCGGCTAATGGTATTGTTTCCTCCTCCTCCTCCTCTCTGGGCTGAGGCCTGTCACCGAGAAGCCGCTTCGCCTTTCTAATCCCCGAGCTGGAGTAAAGGCGCTGGCCGGCGGGCCTGCGCTCTCCACCAGGCCTAGGCCTCCCAGCAGCCTGGGAAGAGCCGATCTCCTCCGCCAAACCCGAGCGAGCAAGAAGGGGGGGACGCGAAACAAACACCTCCTGTGCCACCTACTCCCCCGGACCCCGGATAAGAGCTAATCTCCTCCGCTCTCGGCAGCGCCGGGCCGCCCCGGCTCGGAGGCCCGGCCCGGCTGATGTAGAGGGCAGGGAGGGGAAGGGGAGACAAGGAGGGGGGATTACCTGAGCAAATCGGCGTCTGAATCCAACGAGAATCCGAGAGGGGGAGAGAAATCCGCCCCCCTCCCTCCTCAGAGGAGCCGCCGCCGCCGCTGGGCCGCCGCCGCCGCGGAGCAGGAGGAGGAGGGGAGATAATATAACAACAATAATCCGGGCCGGGAGGGGGGCTGGCTCCTCTTCCGTCTCCTCCTCAGTGCAGCGAACATGTAGAGCCGGGGGTGAGCGGCACGGACGAATCCCTTCCCCCCGAGCCTGCTTCACAACATCGACACGGGCCGCGCCGGGCCGAACCGGTTCCGAGACGCGGCCCGAACAGCGGGGGGAGCAGGAGGGAGGGGGGGGGAAG